TTGTGAGTTGAAAATCTTTGTCAAATGTCAGAACAAGGAAATGGCGTCAATGACGCGGTCTGACGGCAACTACATTGACAGCTATGGCCATCTATATATTGGTAAATTCCGGTTTCATATTTACATACCTAGTATAATATGTATGTAGTAATTATTATATGTACGTTATAAAAATTGTAATAAATTAAATTGTAATGATTAATTATATGCACCTTATAAATTGTATTATTATAATTATACAATTTATAAGGTACATATAATTAATCATACATATCGTACATATCTATAGATATGTACATACGTTATAAATAGTAATGAACAATATATTTATATTTTTTGACCGTATATTTGAGAAATTCAATTAATACTAGAATGTAACTGCCTATTACGGTCGGAGCTGGATCTTCGTTGCTTTAAATAATTCAATCTTGAATTACTAATATATACTATATATGTACTTGCATATATATCATATTGTAGTCTTTTTCAAACTGCGCCTCAAACTAAGGCCTCGGTAGTCTAATGACTCAGGACGCTCGTACGGTTTACAAGAGATTCGGGTTCAAGTCCCGACCAAGGTAATATTTTTATTAATAAATTAATAAATTTATTAATAGTTTTTATAGATTAACATCTTTATAATATATGATGCTTGATGGTAGCATCAAATTATTAAAATTGCTTGTCAATTTAATTCGCGATTACTAGAGTAGTTTTAATTGCGTTTATTTAGTCCGGAAAAACAATTCGGCGCGCAGTTTGAAAAAGACTACAATATGGTATATATGCAAGTACATATATAGTATATATTAGTAATTCAAGATTGAATTATTTAAAGCAACGAAGATCCAGCTCCGACCGTAATAGGCAGTTACATTCTAGTATTAAAATAGTAATAAGTTGTAATAATTAATTAAATCTTTAAATTTAATAAGATTAATCTCTAATTTTAATAAGAAAAAGATTCAAGGTTATTACAAGTTTAATTCCAGTTGAAAAAAAATTATTTTTATACTCAACATCTTTATAAAAATGGACATCGCTTAAGAAGAACACAAGCATGATGCCATTACAGATCTCTTTATGTTAATTTCTGTACTTCTGTAATGCTTCCAAGGCTTTTTACGACTACTACGAGATTTTAACTTTTGACTCAACATCTTTATAAGAATGGACATCGCTTACAAGAACACAAGCATAATGCCATTATTGATAGATTTTTAGATTATATGGAAGGACTAACTAGAATGACTAAATCTTTGCAAGCATTTCAGTAAGTATTGCGTATTTACATCAGGTTTTACATATATTAAGTTATTGAAATTTTATATGATTTGCAGTTTGTAATATTTTAATATTTAAACTTGATTTAACATTGAGAATAAGACCCGATCGGTGTCGAAACGTTTGTTGTAATTTTATATTTATAATTTTTTAAAGTATACTTTCTTTGTTGTGGATCTCCGGCTCGTAGCCCTTCATATTATTTTTGTTATTTATTATTATCGAGCCTTATTGTTATTTATATTTTTTTAGTATATTTTTAAATATTTTTACGTAATTTTTAAATTAAAAATTAAACTTTTATTAAATATTAATTTACGTATGAAAAACATTCTGTTTATCAATTTGTTTATTTTATTCAGATTATCGCTGCTGTGACATATAACTATGACAACCTCTTTACAATAAAATAGTTGTGCAATTGAATGGCTGCAACATCGTCTTTAAAGCCCAAAATTATTGTCCTATTTTTGCTGTTACAACTTTGTCAGAATGTCATAATGATGTTATGGCAGTAACTGTCATAGACAAAAATGTTGCTATTTAAACTGGAACAATGTTATCGCAGATGTTTTAAAGTTTCATGTGTAACTTGGGACATTTCTACATTAATCATGAAATATCCTAGTTAAGCAAATTGTTGTATTTATAACATTATAAATATTGTAATGATAAAAAATAATATTTTTAGTGACATTTACTAAAAATTTGGTTTTCACTAATTGTAAAGTAATAAAAAAAACATCTTTTAATAATATATAAACCTAAATTAAGTTCTACTCGACACTGTACTACAATTAATACCAAGATGTGTAATGCAATATGATAATTTCTAATTTAAAAATAGTGTTCCGACCAAAAAGCTTTAAAAACAATGTTATATCACAAAAAGATACGAAACTAAACTACTTATCAAGATATAAAACTAACGATAGAACAATTAAATACACTCATGTAAGACTATATAAAATTATGTGTTATAATAGCATAACAAAGAATCAAATAAAGAATCATAAAATAAAAACCGATCTAAAAAAAATTAAATAAATATAACTTGTTGAACACAAATTTAAAAAAAACATTTTCTCATTTCTGTTTCTTCAGACTTTGAGATGATTCTTCCATAGACTCCAGCCATAATTGAAGTTCTTTGGTAGGCTCTGGCCTGCGTATTTCCGGCTCGATCTCGGCAATTATTTCCTCTACCGGAACCTTCAATCCAGTTACAGTTTGTCTGCTTAATACAACGGCGCGAATAAAATTGTCCGTAAGACTGATAAACTGGTTTTCTATATAAAAGTGTTTATCTTCCCAATAAATGAGCTGCAATAATGCAAATTGGATCGACTTGATTATCGCGCGTAAAAATGAAAAATAAAAAGAAGAAGCAAAATGTATTGATCGTACCTTTGTCGTGACCTTGTACGGTGTAAAGATAGGAATCGCACGGCGATATCGTATAGTGGATGCACCTTGAACAGCTCCGCCGCCTCTTTTTGAGATAGCGCCGTAAATTCCTGATCTGTCATAGAAATAAAAACGCGCAAAATCCAACTCGCGTAAATATCGCGCATTATTCATGTGCTTCAAAACCAAGTCAACATCCTGAGTGGTGCAAATTCCTAAAACAAGAGAAATCCATTTGCTATTATATTATCATAACAGAGCAGACTAAATTTTCTTATAACCGAAGAGCTTCTCAGGTTTGATTCCCGACCGGGAAAAAATGTTATATACTATATGAACATATTTTATATTATATAATTGTATATAAAATATGTCAATTTTTTACATAATTATATATAATTTTATATAATTATGTATAATTTTATATAATTATGTATAATTATATGTATATGAAACATTTTTTCCCGGCGAAATTGTATACTGTACTTGTATACACATGTCTATATCTTGTATAAGTATTTATTGTTTGAATATTTTTATTTTTAATAGTTATTTACATTTATTAAACTTAAATAAATTTTACCTTTAGTAAAAAATTCTCCTAACATTCTGAAAAATTTTTCATATTTTATGCAGATGTCTGAAAGAAAAATACCTTAAATTTTTTCAGATTTTATAAGCTTTCTAGAAAAATTGTAGAAGGAGAAATGTTGGAAATCTTATAAATCTCTTTCAGAATCTATTTTATAAAGAATTATATAGAAAAAACTTATACCTTCAGCATTTCTGAAAAGCGTCCGTATAAAAGACTTAAGAAATTTTTTTTAATAGAATTATACAAAAATTCTAAAATTTATATTTATAAACATTCTAAAAAATTATATGAAAATTCTACAAAAAAATTATCTCCAGAGGAAAGAAGTTTCATAAAAAAGTAAACTCATGGAGTTAGCAACAATTATCACAAGAAACAATCTATGTGTAACTATTAAAAGTCTCTCTAAAAATGAATACGATGTTCCACAGAGTGAAGAAATACGCCAATGTACTGCGGCACTATTCTATACAGTTATTTACCGACCTACATAATGTAACTAAATACGTTCACATGATAATGGAGCTGAATACATTTGGAAACATAAAAATATTATACATCAACGTCATAAATAAGTGTGCACCAATTATAGTAAATATGTTATGCAATATATTATGAACATTTGGTTCGTCGAACAAAACTGCCCGGTAAAAAATGTTTTATGCATGAATATGTATAAATATTAAAAAATTTTTTATGTATAATTCTATATAAAATTATGCATAATTATGTATGAGCAGGTTTTTTTACATTTCTCCAAACTTGATTTTTTCTAAAACAAATAGTGCACTGAGAGAAAAATGTTTGGTATTTGTAACTATAATTACATATCACTATAATTATGATTATTACTGCTATAATAATAGTAACAGTAACTATGTATATAGATCTACCAACAAATGTATATAGTTGGCAACCTAAAATGACTATAATTATAGTTGTTATATACTATATTATATACTATGTTATATACTATAATAAAATTATAGTTACTTGAATCATTTTTATGGTAATTTCAACTGTTTTATGGTTATAACAACTATAATTATAGTCATTTTAGGTTGCCAACTATATACATTTGTTGGTAGAACTATATACATAGTTACTGTTACTATTATTATAGCAGTAATAATCATAATTATAGTGATATGTAATTATAGTTACAAATACCAAACATTTTTCTCTCAATGTAAGAAAATTACTTTTTTAATTATTTTTAATATTTTCACGTCAGTATTATTATTTCTATTACACTAATAAGTAATTTTACAAAAAAAAGGGATGTATGGGCATATTTCATATATAATTATATATGTTTATGAATATTTATGCGTGTTTATGTATGTTTATACATATTCATGCATGACAAATTTTTTACCGGCTGCGTACGTACCAAAGGTTGAGAATAAAATTTTTAGATATTTTGCAATAAAAATATGTACAAAATTTTGTATATATTTTTACTGCAGAATTATACTTGCATTTTTAGATATGTTGCAATAAAAATATGTACAAAATTTTGTGCTTTAAGACATGCAAAATATCTAAAAATGTAAATTTTATTCTCAACTTCTGATGCAGATATATAATAACAATATTATGATTTTGCACACTTATATCTCGCTTTATGTACACTAAAAATTATTTTATTTTTCATAATTTTATTTCCTATCATGCTTATATTGATAACATCACAAATTTAGTCATTTTCTACTTGCGCAACATTGTGTTTTTCCACTTATGTTATCACTTTTCAATGTCTTTGCAATTAAAATGCTTCATCTAATAAGACACACAAACTAATTCATTGTACACATTTCATACAAGCAAATTAATAGGACAATTTATTAAATGCATGATGTAATTGTGATCTAATGTAAGAATTTACCATAAATTGTTATCGTATCGAAGAGTTTCTTCTTCTTCTCGAAAAGTCTACCCCAAAGAATGGTGAGAATAATTCTCATAAAGTAATTTACGTCAAATAGAATGTAGAGGATGGCGATCATCGCCACGCAACAAGAACACAACATTGTCAGTTTTCTATTGGCGTATCTCTCGCTATCTGAACGACTGCACAAAAATAACCTCGACTCGATGTACACCTTCTCACGGTCGACGGAAGACTGATCACTATGACTCTCTGACTTGTCCGCGATCTGCGAAAAACCGGTTTCACAAGCGTTAAAGAAAGACGCTTTAATATTCTGTTATGCTAATTGACCGAAATTACAGCCGAAATTGAAATTGCAAATTGAAATTGCAAATTGCAAATTTTTAAATAAATACACAGATTTTGTTATAATAGAACCTCACGCATAAATGTCACGTTTATTGTGTTGAAAGAAAAATTATATTAATCACTTGGTATAGATAAATCACTTTGTATAAATAATTTAAATTTGTTTTTCCTTTGTTTATTTGAAATTTAAATATATCTTTTAACGTACGTAAAGTCAATTCTGACAAACGAGAAAATTTTTTATATATTTTTCCTCTTACAACTTAAATTTTTATACCGTATTTTACTGACTAATCGTAAATCTTAAATAAATCAAGATCGAATTGAGAAATTAAAAGTAAAATTTAACAATCCTTTATTTTTTTATAAAATTTTGTTAAATTTTATCAAACATTAGATAAGATACAACAGAGGAAATTAACAGCTATATAGAAATAAAATGGACTACTATTAGTGTTAATAAATCAGTGACCTTGTTAATCAGCGAATTATTTATGCTTACGTATGCGCATATCCTATCAGTTACAAAACGAAGTCTGCAGTCGTTATGTATAAGCAAAGAGCAAAGTAAAATATCATGGCTTCTTCAGAAAAAAGAAGTTATTACAAAATGACGTGTTCATAGTTTAATAGATAGATATATTTCTTCCAATGTGTGAAGGCACCTAATATACTAGTTAAATACACAGGCATCCATTGTTACAATAAATGTAAATATTTAGTATGTTGTATTTAATGTTAATATTTGTTATTTCCCTGCCGTATTCACAATCATGGTTATGTAGAAAAAAATTTTAATGCGTAACATGTAACAATGTATTTAATCAGCTATAATTGCTAATAGCATGTTAAAAGAGAGTATTCTATATTTTTATATACAATAGTAACTATACAATAGTATATTTTTATATACAATAGTAATTCATCTCAGTGATAAATTAATGCACATAAAAAATCCAGAGATGGACGCGTTATTTACCATTCCTGGAAAAATATACCTTGCTTCTAATTTTGAGGTATTCTTCTCTTATCACTTAATGTAAAAATATTAAATGTGTACAGTTACACAATTTTCTTAATGTGCACTATATGCCAAATTTCAATTAATACTTCGGCATTTTAACATAATATCTTACATTAATTTTTTACGCTCAGACATAAATTATCCCAGGGGATGATCCCGATTGATCACGGCTCGATTGGACACCACCAATCACAGCGACCGGTGCTTAGGAGCTTTGTAGTCTCAAGCGCTGTGAGTGGCTCGTGTCCAATTGAGCCGTGTCCAATTGGGTGCCACCCTTATCCCAGCTATGAACGTTAAATATTCCATGAAAGATTCGTAAAAAACTCCTAAAATCCTAAAAAGAACATTCCAAGAGTATCCCGAAATATCCCGAAATATTTACGGAATGTAAAAACAATATTCAAATACTAACTAAAAATTTCATTTACATATATATACAACCGATCGGATTGGTTCTATTTATGGATCCATAAATTAGAACCAGTCGCTAGATGAGTAGGCTGTATTCCGAAACCCATAAAAAAAAGTGTTGTAAATTTTCTGTGACCTGCTGTACATATACCATTATTTTAGAAATTCCGGTCGTCCCTAACCCACCTTTTAAACAAAATTTTATTATGAAGAACGTGTTTCATGTGCTTTTACCTTGAAGACTAATTTTGGGGATCATTTTACAAGCGAAATACTGCGTTTCTTATATTCTCTCCCAAGACAATTCGTATTTACGAGTAAATGCTCTCTGTCGCGGTCCTCTGTTGGTGAAGTATTCCTTATGGGCTGTGTATTCCTTATAAAGCTGTATTCATACAATATTCTAAACATTTCATTAACATTTACACATTCCGTGACGATTCTTTTATTGTTTCAGAACATTCTGCACATTGGGAATACGAAGCGAACTTTCTATGAATATTTAGCGTTAGTTGGGAAATATTATACAGCCTTATTGGAAAATATTAGACATCATAACTAACCATTATTTAAAGTTAGAATTTAATTGTTTTTAATTAATTTTAATTAATTTTTATGGCATTTGCTATAAATTATCCTTTGTTTTAAGTATCCTTTAAATTTATATATAATATCAATAATCAGTAAATAACAATGTAGATAGAAATCTAGATAAAAAAATGTAGGTGTCTAATATTTTTTATCAAAGCTGTATAATTATAAATACGAAAATAACAAAAAATTATTACATTTAAAAAAAATTTTTTTAGAATTTACTTATAATCATTTTCTTTTTTGAAGAATTTAATCAATCTATGTTTCAATAGAAAGAGGAAGAAACAATCGCTTACTGCAATTATATTAATTATTCTTATCCTCGATTACAGAATACCAAACTTATAATAGGTCATTATTAATCATTTATTTTGTCATAAGGCCGCGCTTAGTTTCCGCTTCTCAAAGACAATTAAACACACAAGTAGCGAGAATCTTTAACCGATCTTGTTACGGAATTTCCCCCAGAACAACATCCATCATCCGGACAATTAAGGATAAAGATTGCATTCCGCATATTCCGCTTGTTACACAGTCGTAGTTGTATATATCGGTGCTAAACCGCCGCAGGACGTTGCGGCGTCCGTATATCAGCAACGCGTCGTTATCGTTATCGGTTCCTGTCTCAACATCGCTGATGATATTTCGTTACTTTCCATCCATCTGCTCACTTCGGGTGGCATCTCTGGTCGCACAGGAGATACCTAATGGCACATTATACCATTTAACTTATAGAGATAAGAAAAAATAATCTGTCGCTGCTTTATTATATTAATTATTCTTATTCTCAATTACGAAATATCAGGCTTATAGAGTATTATTAATCATTAACTTTATTATAAAGGCATGCTAAATTTCCTATTTTCAAAGACAATTAAACATGCAAGTACGAGCTTATGACACACAGTAAGTTTGTTAAAAAATAATAACAAATTATTTTTGAATTATTTGCAAAATTATTTGCAATTATTTAAAAAAATTTGAATTTATCCAAAATTTCTTGATATATTGAGATAAATCGCTCTGCAGTTAATTTTAAAATTCTTGCTTTGGAGGCATTCCACGTCAAACCGGGCATCTTCGAAACATCATTTCTAATTTTTTCTTAAATTTACTGACATATTCTATAGATAAAAATATGAGACACGTATTTCGCGAAAAAAATTTGGGAAGTTATTCACTCTTGTAAGTTGCATAAATGCATAAAAAACATCGCTCATGCGAACATTCAAATTATTATATCATCGAAGCTATTAGTCGTACAAAAAAAATGCAAGAGATAAATTTTAAAGAGCTTAAATTGTTTTATAGATGGATTATTTTTAATTTATCATTTTTATATAAATAAATTTTTCATCTGTTTACAATTTTTATTAACATTTCTTATATTCGACTTACCAATTAAAAAATTTTGTAAAAATATCATGATATTCTTATTTCAATTATAGTAACCCTAAAAATTACAAAATGGAACTCGAATGGAACGTATAGTTAAAAAATTCTGTTGTGTGACGGCGTGGTATACGTATGCTTTCCGTATACGTATTGTTTTAATTTTGGAAGAATTTTTTTAATTTTTTTTTAGTCAGGGGTAGTTTTCCGCGTATAAGGATACCTTCCGACGCATGTATTCAATCGGGGTGTTTCTTATTTGTTGTCTGGCATATAGAGCTCTGCGCAAAAGGAAAAATGGACTAAACCATTTTGAAAAAATCGCTCCAAGAAATTCCAATTAACTTCAAAATCAGCTATTATAGAACAATTTAAGATTTATTATCATTAAAATCGGTCTCTTGCATTTTTTTATGTGACTAATGGTTTCAATGATATAATAATTTGAATGTCGCATGAGTGATGTTTTTTATGAATGTTTGCAATTTACAAGCGTGAATAACTTCACAAAAAAGTTCTCAAATTTTTTTCGCAAAACACGTGTCTCATATTTTTATCCGTAGAATATGTCAGCAAATTTGAAAACAAATTAAAAATGATGTTTCAAAGGTGCCCAACGTGAAATGCCTCTTTGTTATTTATTATATAAATTATTGAATTAAATACCATTTCAGTTCTGTCAACCTATGTGTGACTTAATCTCAATGACTGAGGAACTTAATTATGTAATTCGTATTGATATTGCTGAGAGAACTCCAAAGTAAATCAAAATGTTTAATCTTCAATCTGCATCAAGTTTTGAAAAAAGACATTTTCGATTTTGTAATGTTATAAAAAAGTAAGTTATAACATCATAACTTATACTCTTATAAACGCGTCATACTCTAGCTCTATATTCATTTTGGCTTATTACAAAAGTATCAATAAACTGTAGTACGTACAACTTTTTCGTTAATAAAATATATGTCAAGATATCACTTTTAATGTCTTCTTTACTTTCTTTGTATTACAAAATGAGTTTGAAGTTCCTTTTTTCTTTCTTCTCAAAATTATACACATGAGAAACCCAACTTTTATTCTAATTATTAAAATATAGACTATAAGAGTTGTTTTCAAAGTTTTTGTAAGCACGTGCAATCTACTTTAGGATTTTATAATGAATTGGTCACATACATATAATAAAATTTATTTGGTGCATTTATAAAAGGTATATGAGAAAAATTCGCCCTATCTTCTTAATTTTCAAAAAACAAATCTTTTTGACTACACAAAAGTAACGTGTATTACGACTTTTTGAATATAAGACATGAAGAACAGAGTCAACATCGAAATACAAAGTAAGTCTTATCAATATTACCGAAACCTTATTGACCAATGTAAGTCTTCATTTCGTATCATTATCAACATATACGTTTTCTATTGTAATAAACAGTCTTGACAGCAATCGTTTAAAATTCTTGCAGCGTTCTCCAAATATACAGGGTGTATATTTTACCCGTAAGTTTTATTCTCTCTCTCTCTCTCTCTCTCTCTCTCTCTCTCTCTCTCTCTCTCTCTCTCTCTCTCGCTTTTGTGTAGCTATAGAGCGGACTAAACTGAATCGAAAAGTCCTCTACCATTTTGCAATTTTTGCAATAGTTAACAAGATATTAATTACTAAAAATTACTAAATATTAGTCTTGAATAATTTTTTACTCAAATACTATCAACTTTACAGAAAAACTGCAAGAGACAAAAATCATTTATTTTCTTCTCATAATATTCTGAAAATTTTTTCAGAATCGGCCAAAACTTACGGGGCACCCTGTATAATCGCAATTAATTCCTACCTGCATTACACCTGCTTCGATATTTCCATTCTGTTTCACCCTACGATTCAATAGGGCGCCAATAACAGTATCGGCGCTACAATTAAGAAGTCTTTGCCTGCAAATCGCGATTGCCCTTATAAAACCATCGCTCGGCGTGATAAAGCGATGCTCCATGAAAAAACTCCTCTCATCCCAATAAATGATCTAAGAAAAAAAAGTTACATTATTTAAGATTGCGTATTTGATCGGTCTATTCTTTTTAACTAACTTCTTGCATGATTTACCTTTTCTTTTTTTCTCTAATGTAGAAAGGAACAAAAGGAAGGTCAAATCATATAAAAAATTCAGATAAAAAGAACACACAACATAAAAAAGCGAGATATAAGACGTCTTAAAGATGCGCGAAAGACGTCTCAGGATATTAAAAAGAAAAATAGATATCTTAAAGGCATCTTTAAGACATCTTATGTCGGAAGGATCCCGTTTGCCTACAATCCCGATTGCACACACCACTCATATCAGCTGGTGCCTAGTAATTTTTTACTGCTTTACCAATGAGAATATTTTAAATTAGCCAATTAGCGATGCATGTGTGCAACATGCAATGTGTGCAATCGGAGCCTTCTCCTTATGTCGTGATTTTGTTGTTTGGATATAAGCTAAAACAATTTTTTTTACAAGACTAATATAATTCGTCGAATTCACCAATTTTTTAACTCCGCATTACATAGTCTTCATTTCACAAGAAGAAACACTGTTTTTGTGCACTAGAGTGTTAAAGTATCAGTTAATTAATAATTAAATCGGAACACAATCATTACTATAGTAATCTTAGCCCGTATAATACGGGCTTTTGGGACTTCCGTTTCCGGTGTGTTGTGAGAAGGTGGACGATAACTAGTGGGCAGAGCAAAAAGTGAAAGTGAAGAGAGAGAGAGAGGTATGAGAGAGCGGTAGTGAGCAGTGGTGAGAAAGGGAGTGGAGGGAAGGGTGTGAGAGTGTGGGGGTAGTGGAGGAAAAGGGTTGGGGCAGGGAAAAAGAGAGAAAAGAAAGGGATTGAGGTTGTGACATACTTGGTAGGACAGAGCGCGTGGAGCGAGGGGAGAGGTAGAGGGATCTGGAGGCGGATGGTGGGAGCAAGTGCGTTCGG